CAGTCATGCTGAGTGTCAGTCATTCTGAGTGTCAGTCATGCTGAGTGTCAGTCATTCTGAGTGTCAGTCATTCTGAGTGTCAGTCATTCTGAGTTGTCAGTCATTCTGAGTGTCAGTCATTCTGAGTGTCAGTCATTCTGAGTGTCAGTCATTCTGAGTGTCATCATTCTGAGTGTCAGTAATTCTGAGTGTCAGTCATTCTGAGTGTCAGTCATTCTGAGTGTCAGTCATTCTGAGTGTCAGTCATGCTGAGTGTCAGTCATTCTGAGTGTCAGTCATTCTGAGTGTCAGTCATTCTGAGTGTCAGTCATTCTGAGTGTCAGTCATTCTGAGTGTCAGTCATTCTGAGTGTCAGTCATTCTGAGTGTCAGTCATTCTGAGTGTCAGTAATTCTGAGTGTCAGTCATTCTGAGTGTCAGTCATTTCTGAGTGTCAGTCATGCTGAGTGTCAGTCATTCTGAGTGTCAGTCATTCTGAGTGTCAGTCATTCTGAGTGTCAGTCATGCTGAGTGTCAGTCATTCTGAGTGTCAGTCATGCTGAGTGTCAGTCATTCTGAGTGTCAGTCATTCTGAGTGTCAGTCATTCTGAGTGTCAGTCATTCTGAGTGTCAGTCATTCTGAGTGTCAGTCATTCTGAGTGTCAGTCATTCTGAGTGTCAGTCATTCTGAGTGTCAGTCATTCTGAGTGTCAGTAATTCTGAGTGTCAGTCATTCTGAGTGTCAGTCATTCTGAGTGTCAGTCATTCTGAGTGTCAGTCATGCTGAGTGTCAGTCATTCTGAGTGTCAGTCATTCTGAGTGTCAGTCATTCTGAGTGTCAGTTTATTCTGAGTGTCAGTCATTCTGAGTGTCAGTCATTCTGAGTGTCAGTCATTCTGAGTGTCAGTAATTCTGAGTGTCAGTCATTCTGAGTGTCAGTCATTCTGAGTGTCAGTCATTCTGAGTGTCAGTCATTCTGAGTGTCAGTCATTCTGAGTGTCAGTCACTCTAAGTTCCAGTCACTCGTGTTTGTAGTACCAACAACAAGAGTCAGGTTGGTGGTGGTTCAGTCTTCATAATATCATCTCACTTATTCTCTTATATTTGCAGTGTCTCCAATACTTTCTTGTGTTGCGACCTCCACCCTCTAGTTCTTCCTGTTAACTCTGGTTAGTTAACCTTACTGTTAATGTTGGGTAGTTCACTTTCCTGTTAACACTGGGTAGTTAACTTTCCTGTTAACTCTGGGTAGTTAACCTTCCTGTTAATACCAGGTAGTTAACCTTCCTCTTAATACCAAGTAGTTAACCTTCCTGTTAATACCAGGTAGTTAATCTTCCTGTTAATACCAGGTAGTTAACCTTCCTGTTAATACCAGGTAGTTAACCTTCCTGTTAATTTCCAGGTTTGTTAATCTTCCTGTTAATACCAGGTAGTTAACCTTCCTGTTAATAACAGGTAGTTAATTTTCCTGTTAATACCAGGTAGTTAACCTTCCTGTTAATACCAGGTAGTTAACCTTCCTGTTAATAACAGGTAGTTAATCTTCCTGTTAATACCAGGTAGTTAACCTTCCTGTTAATAACAGGTAGTTAATTTTCCTTTTAATACCAAGTAGTTAATCTTCCTGTTAATACCAGGTAGTTAATCTTTCCCGTTAATACCCAAATACTTAATCTTCCTGTTAATACCAGGTAGTTAATCTTCCTGTTAATACCAAGTAGTTAATCTTCCTGTTAATACCTGGTAGTTACTCTTCCTGTTAATACGAGGTAGTTAATCTTCCTGTTAATACCTGGTAGTTAATCTTCCTGTTAATACCTGGTAGTTAATCTTCCTGTTAATACCAGGTAGTTAATCTTCCTGTTAATACCAGGTAGTTAATCTTCCTGTTAATACCAGGTAGTTAATCTTCCTGTTAATACCAGGTAGTTAATCTTCAGGGAATGTTGATTTAAAGGAAACGATATTAAGAGTGGATGTCTGGTACTTATGTAAGTGTCAGTGGGATTCCAGAACCTAATCGTTCGTAAACACGAATCGTACGAGTGTAAAACACGACAGTACACGTCAGGACACGAAAGGACACGTCAGGACACGACAGGATACGTCAGGACACGATTTAAAATACTCCAGCTACTCACTACCATTTCCTCTTCACCGTTGCTTCCCCTTCCTCTCTCTCTCTCTCTCTCTCTCTCTCTCTCTCTCTCTCTCTCTCTCTCTCTCTCTCCCCTTCCTATCTCTCTCTCATTTCTCTTGTCAATAAAAGTTTTATGTTCTCTCTTCTCCACTTCGGGCGTAAAATGAGATCGTTTTGAGAGATTATGTTATACTCAGCAGTGATGTCAGCATTATGTTATACTCAGCAGTGATGTCAGCATTATGTTATACTCAGCAGTGATGTCAGCATTATGTTATACTCAGCAGTGATGTCAGCATTATGTTATATTCAGCAGTGATGTCAGCATTATGTTATATTCGGCAGTGATGTCAGCATTATGTTATACTCAGCAGTGATGTCAGCATTATGTTATCCTCAGCAGTGATGTCAGCATTATCCTATACTTAGCTCTGATGTCAGCATTAATGGAGTTATATGGGGCTTGTGGGAGTTGGTGGTGGAATGGTGGTTGCTGTGATGGTGGTGGTGGTGCCAGTGGTGGTGGTGATTGTTGTGATGGTGGTGGTGGTGTTGCCAGTGCTGGTGGTGGTAGTGGTGGAATGGTGATTGTTGTGATGGTGGTGGAATGGTGATTATTGTGATGGTGGTGGTGGTGGCGTCAGTGGTGGTGGTGGTGGTGGTGGTGGTGGAATGGTGATTATTGTGATGGTGGTGGTGGTGGCGTCAGTGGTGGTGGTGGTGGTGGTGTGGAATGGTGATTATTGTGATGGTTGTGGTGGTGGCGTCAGTGGTGGTGGTGGTGGTGGTGGAATGGTGATTATTGTGATGGTGGTGGTGGTGGCGTCAGTGGTGGTGGTGGTGGTGGTGGTGGTGGTGGTGGTGGTGGTGGTGGTGGTGGTGGTGGTGGAATGGTGATTATTGTGATGGTGGTGGTGGTGGCGTCAGTTGTGGTGGGTGGTGGTGGTGGGTGGTGGTGGTGGTGGTGGTGGTGGAATGGTGTATTATTGTGATGTGTGGTGGTGGCGTCAGTGGTGGTGGTGGTGGTGGAATGGTGATTATTGTGATGGTGGTGGTGGTGGTGGTGGGTGGCCACTACCACCATCACAGATGGCTTACTAAAGTTATATAGACAGTCACAAAGAGGTGGGTGGTAGTGAAAAAAAAAACAGTCATCTGCCCTGAGAATATTGTCTCAAGGATCTTGCTAGTGACTGACAGCAGTGACACTGCTCTGTAGTGGCTGATTTCCGCTCTGCTCTTCTTTTGTGAACAGTGACTACATTTGCTTCTTTCCACAGAGTAAATAATTTACACTGCTAGGCAGTGCTGATAGATGGAGGTGATGCTAGCTCGTCTGCGCATCTACGTAGCAGTCATGGGCTCATCTTGGCCCACAGCCTTTCTTTGGTCCAGGAATTTAAGGAGATATATTTCATTACGGTTTATCGCCACCTCTGACAATTTTGACTCAGTTCTTGCGGCTCGCCAGGGAGGTTCCCTAACTGGATTATTGTCTTGGCAGGAAAGTGTTCATCAAACTGACTGATAGTAAAGACGGTCCCATCCTGTCACTTCAGATGTATAATATCAGGTTAATGTCTTCGTCGCTCCCTGACCATGGACCACCAGTTTTAAACTCCACTCTTCCTGATGCCAGTGTTTCTTTTATCTTCCTTCCTCTAGAAATAGTCTGGTTTTGGACTTCATAAGCCGACAAGGTTGCCTGTGCAGGTCCTGTTATAAATAGTTGAATGGTTCTCATACCTTTTCCAAGCCTTGTACTTAATAGTACCAGCCCCTAAGCAATGAAAGCCAGACCAAGACTGTTCTGAAGGCTTCGTTACGTAATGCCGGTGAGGGATGTACTTGTGTTGTAGAGTAAGGATATGTTTAGTGAAGGCATTCACTTGGTTATCATCGCCCTGGAGAAAGATCATTACAATCTGAGGTGGTGAGCTCAGAGTAAAGGTCCGGCTGGTTTCCTCTCTCCCACAGCTAGGTTGAGCATGATGATTCTTCACCTAGTTCTGTTGGTATCGTCACTGATTGTAAGACAACCTTGTTGTCAGATGAGCCAACATAGACAAGAGATTTGCAAGTGACTATGCCTCCAGTTAGATCAATCACTAGCGGGTCAAGAGAGGAGCCAAAGATATGAGTAGGGAAGTCAGTAAAGTTTTTAATGTCAAACACTGTAAGAAGGTCATCATAATCCCTTGGTAAAAGATGATGGTTGAGGTCCGCAACAGTTATAATGTGTTGACATTTGTGTTGAGGCAGAAAAGTGTTCACATTTTACATCAGGAAGTTGATATGGTCTGCTTGCTGCCATTGAGGTCTGTACATTGCGCATGCTAGTATGGAGGCACTAGGATTTATGCATAGCCTAGAGAACATTATCTCCAGGTGATTAATGATGGCAACATCAATGAGCTGGGCATGTACACTTTTAGAAGAACATACAGCAACACCACCTCCTTTTCCTTGTCCTTGCCTGTCTCGTCTCATCCATGAGGTGTAGCCTGCAATTCTTGCAGAACCGAAGTCCTGTCATCTAAAAATGTTTCAACAAAGGCAATCATGTCAGGATGATGAATATTCAAGAAACTGTGGTTGAGATCTCCAACTTTGGTAATGAAGCGTCTAATGTTGGTGGACAGGATGCTGATAGACTGGTTCCTTATGTTCGTGTTCAACTTGACAATAGTTGAGTAAGAAGTTTGTCTTTGAGACGGGTAGGACACCGAAGCAGCCACTGGGACGTAGCTCAGTGGTCTTGTGTAATGCATGAAACCACCTGCTGAGCTGAGACAAGAGTAGCTGGGTGGTGACGTGTAAGAGTGCTCATCATGTATGTCCAATATCTTTTTGTTCCGACAGAAATCCTTAATGTCCTCTCTCTTGTGGGAGTAATTATACCTGATATTTACCAGACAGTTGTCAGCGGTGTGCCCCCTTCAGTGACAGCAGGAACACTGCCTAGGAACCTGGAGTATACCTGGAGGGTCTTTCGGGGGTCATCGCCCCCGCGGCCCTCTCCATGACCAGGCCTCGTGGTGGATCAGGGCCTGATCAACCAGGCCGTTACTGCTGACCGCATGCTAACCAACGTACGAACCACAGCCCAGCTGATCAGGTACTGACTTGAGGTGCCTGTCCAGCTCCCTCTTGAAGACAGACACGGGAGGGTAGTGGCCTATTTCCTGCCCTTCTTGAATTTCACTGGTAATTCGGCGGCGAAATCAACGAAAAAAAGGGGCTTTGTTCGTCAAGGGGTAACCCACTCAGGGGTTAAGCAACTGCTGGCTCACTGCTGGCTTACTGCTGGCTTCCATCAACAAGACTGTACTGAGAGACTGCTTACAATTCACCGAGGCCTGACAGACACCTTGTTCAGAGGCTGTAATAATATCAAGCGCGAGGAGCTTATTAAAATCATAGACACTGTATCCCTTTTAATGCATCTGTTGTTTGATGTTTATGTTTGCTTAAGGATAACCACGAGTGCCCTGTAGCACTCGTTTTCTTTTGAGTACAAGATAGATATTCCTGTGAGTCCCTGAGGCAGTATGTGAGTTAGCAGTAGTGGTAATAGTATGTGAGGTAGAAGTAGTAGTAGTAGCAGTGTGTGAGTTTGCAGTAGTAACAGTATGTGAGGTAGTAGTAGCAGTGTGTGAAGTGGCAGTATTAACTGTAAAGTGGCAATAGTAACAGTGTGTATGGGTGTTTCAGCATGGGTGGTCAGGTACCGTCGGTAACAATGAGTGAGGATGGTGGTGAGGCAGCGGTGGTGGTGGTGGTGTGTGAGGATAAGGCCACTAGCACTGACGATGAGCTCCTGGGCTCCCCTACCCAAGATGACGATGTCTTCGGTCCCGACAACTGCTTCCGGTACATGGCCCACACTGCCCAGCTGTGGGGGGCCGACTTGGTGGGCCTGGAACGCCCACACAGCGCCCGTGGGGGGCGCTACCTCCGCCATCAGGAATCTCTAAGCAGCAACAGCGACGTCTCTCGCCCGCACCGACAGGTCAAACTCCGAAGACAGCGCAATACGGAGTCAAGCGATACCGAAAAACGAACGAAGACGCGGGAACTAAGGCGGCAATGGACCACCGACTCTTCTGACTCTGGTTACTCGAAGAGGTACTCGCGGGAGTTGCGTCGTCAGGACACCGAAGAGTCTGCAGACTCGACGAGGCGCCTCGTACGAGAGCTACAGCGTCAGGTAACAACTGAATCGTCGTCATCTTTAAGACTGACGCGTCAGTCATCCATACACAGCGCTTCCGATAATCAGAGCCTCTGTCTTTTGCGTCAGTCAACCATCGACACTTACGATGATATCTCCACAACCGACTTCTCTCGGCCGCAGTCCCGCAACAGCAGCCGCAATCCCGGGTGCAGCATCCTGGACTATTCGCCGCACTCCTTCACCTCCGACGCCGCCCATAGCCAAGCAGAAGCCGCCGGTCAGACCGTCCTTACAGAGTATGCTGCTCCAGGTGACACTTGTCCCAGCCCACAAGACCTGGTTAATGGCTACGACTACACAGCCAACACCATTCCTGCCAATGTTGGAGCACCGCTCCTCTCCACCATCTCCTGCTCCCTCATCAACCTCAGTGCCGTCGACCTGGAGGCCGCCGAGATTAAGGAGCTCCATAAAAGTCTCCGTACCCTGGGACCTGAGACTCAGAGCAAGACCAGGCGGAAGAGGACTCGTCGGAGCACTGATAATGAGGCTCTGAAGGCGGCGAAGGAACGGGTGCGGCGACGGAAGGAAGAGGAGGAGATGCCTAGAAAAGTCCGCTGGTCCATCATGGCCACAGGACTTATCCTCCTCCTCATGTCAGTCATCTTGGTGGGGGCCACGCTCAAAATGGCGCCGCTCATCGACGAATGGTGATTCCATAGAAACAACCTCGACTATTCATTCCCCAAAAAAAAAATTCGCCCCTAACCTCACCCGCACCCACATGAATGAGAGTGATGTAGGATAAGGCAGCAGTGAACTGCTGCTTTACCTTACATCACCTTAACCTACTAATTTATCCATAATTGAGCCCCTGCCCTTTATGCTGTAACACTACATTTTTCGTTATTCAAAGAAACAAATTTATAGAAGGTTCTCTCGTGACTCCATCAGTACCAGGTCAAACAGGTGGAGGCACGGAGGGCCCAGGTTCTGGAGGTAAGTCAACGATCAAATATGGGAAATTTGTTAGATTTACCCTCGTTACTGCTATGTAGGATCCCCCATGAGAGTAAGACACATGTGCAACATCTGGTATCTTTATTGTAGACGTTTCGCCATCAGTGGCTTTATCAATACAATTCTAGGACATAACTTGAAGACTATAAAACTTGTACAGAAGTTTGAGGTAATCATGTTCCTCAATAGAGTAGGTGCGAACAGCACCATATCGTGGATTCTGAGCAGAAAAAAGATCCTGGCGCCTATATATACGTCAGTGAAAGCAGACGAGGGCAAATTCCGGGTAGCGGATCCCAGGGGAAGTAGGTCTTCCAAAGAGATGGGTTAGTTGTAGAGTAGTTGTCGAGTCGGAAAGTATGTCCTAGAATTTGTTTGAAAAGCCACTGGATGGCGAAACGTCTAAAATTTAAAGTACCCAGATGTTGACATGTGTCTTACTCTCATCTTGTCGGTATTATATACCATTTCGTACACAGGATCCCCCATACCCTTTCCCTGACCCAGACGTTAGTTTGTGAAGGATGCAACGCACTCTCAAGGGAAGACGAGAGACACACGTACACGCACACATCTGATTTACACATATGCTAAATTATATATAATAACTGTATTTATATGCACGTGTACCGAAATAAACTTACACACCTACAAACAAACACATATGTATACATACACACACAACTACAATCGTAGTGGATAAGTGAGGTCCTGTAACTTATGAATCAGAGACTATGATAGGGAAAAATCAATTATGATATTTGGACTGGAGGAGCAACGTGGAGAACCAAATTTAAGGATAAAGGATTATAGATAATTACGAATATAAATAATCTACTCAAATTTCATACACATATACAACAAATTTCTAAGAAAATTTCCAAGACTGTAGGCATACTATCGAAGATACGGTACTATGTTCCACAGTCAGCCCTCCTGGCACTTTATTACTCTCTTATTTACCCCTATCTCACCTATGGAATTTGTGCATGGGGCTCAACAACAACTAACCATCTCAGACCACTAATTACCCAACAAAAGGCTGCAGTTAGAATGATAACAAATTCTCAGTATAGGCAGCACACTCCACCAATATTCAATACACTAAACCTACTCACCATACAAAACATCCATACTTATTATTGCACTTATTACATACATAGAACACTTAACTCTGATATTAACCCTCCCCTCAAACATCTCCTTGCCAACCTCAACAGAACACATGACCATAACACAAGGCACAGATCACTCTTTGATGTTCCTCGTGTCCATCTCACGCTATGCAAAAATTCAATGCACATAAAAGGCCCTAAAATCTGGAATTCATTACCTGTAAATATAAAAGAAACACTACCTGTTTATAAATTCAATGTATTATCACTGATTTCATCATTGCTTAGTTAATTTTAAGCCAGCCCGAAATGCTATGCATAGTATAAGTGGCTTTGGCATGCTGCTCTTATCTGTATTTTTTTGTACCTCTGTATGTATGCTTAAATTGTAAATAAATAAATAAATAAAATAAATAACATTGAGAAAAAAACAAAACAGCGAAACATAGCGAAGTCCATAAAGACTTAGGCACCTTTGTTTGCTGGTAGCATCATCCACAAGAAAGCAATGGCCTCATCAGACGCAAGATTCAATATGGTAATGAAGAAAGTTATCTTACAACAGCAAAAAAGCTGAAAATCAGGGAAGAAATAATAACATTTCATAAAATACTCAGAGATATTGATATAATTTTGTATGAACGACCTGAGAGGTGCACAGTAACGAGACGATTTGGTATGACACAGTATGCGGAGCAAGCGTTTACTGGGACTGGGGCATGTGAGAGGCGGGGCCAGGAGCTAAGCCACGACCCCTGTAACCACAAATAGGTGATTACACACAGTCACACACACACACACACACACACACACACACACACACACACACACACACACACACACACACACACACTGGAGGACAGAAGGGTCAGGGGAGACATGATAACGACATACAAGATACTGCGGGGAATAGACAAGGTGGACAGAGATAGGATGTTCCAGAGAGGGGACACAGGAACAAGGGGTCACACCTGGAAGCTGAAGACTCAGACGAGTCACAGGGACGTTAGGAAGTATTTCTTCAGTCATAGAGTTGTCAGCAAGTGGAATAGCCTAGTAAGTGAAGTAGTGGAGGCAGGAACCATACATAGTTTTAAGAAGAGGTTTTATTAAAAACCAGGGAAACAGAAAAGGGGGAGGATCCGTAGTGATCAGTTTAAAAAGGCGGGGCAGGAGCTGAGTTCCCGGGCCCCCGCAAAAAACAATTAAAAGGGGAGTAAAAAGGGGGGGAATAGTCTTTAAGACATCACAAATGAAAAGGTAAATTTTTTGCCTGGAGCCCGTCCCAAAAAAATGGCTTTAGAAAACGTGGGGTGGGAAAGAGGAGGAGGGGTGTGGGGGAAAAGGAGGGGGTGTGTGGGAAGAGGAGGAGGGTGTGGGAGGGGAGAGGTGGGGTGGGAAAAAAGGGTTGTGGGGGGGAAAGGAGGGGGGTTTTGGGAAAAGTGGGGGAGGGGTGGGAAAGACGAGGAGGGGTGGGAAAGGGGGGTGTGTGGGAAAAGGAGGAGGGGGTGTGGGAAAAAGGAGGGGGTGGGGTGGGAAGAGGGGGGAAAGGGGTGGGGAAGAGGAGGATGTGTTGGGGAAAAGGAGGTGTGTGGGGAAAAGGGGGGAGGTGTGTGGGAAGAGGAGGGTTGGGGGGAAAAAGGAGGGGGGGTGTGTGGGAAGAGGGGGGAGGGGTGTGGGAAGAGGAAGGGGGTGGTGTGAAAGGGGAGGTTTTTGGGGGGAAGAGGAGGTGTGTGGGAAAGGGGGAGGTGTGTGGGGAAAGGAGGGGGTGTGTGGGGAAAAGGAGGAGGTGGGGGTGGGGAAAGGGGGGGGAGGTTGTGGGAAGAGGAGGAGGTGGGTTGGGGGAAGAGGGGGTGGGAAAGGGGGGGGTGTGTGGGAAGAGGAGGGGTTTGGGGAAGAGGAGGAGGTGTGTGGGAAAAGGAGGAGGTGGGGGGGTAAAAGGGGGGAGGTGGGTGGGAAGAGGGGGAGGTGTGGGGAAGGGGGAGGAGGTGTGTGGGGAAAAAGGGGAGGGGTGTGGGAAGAGGAGGAGGTGTGTGGGAAGAGGAGGAGGTGTGTGGGAAAAGGGGGGGGGTTTTTGGGAAAGGAGGAGGTGTGTGGGAAAAGGGGGTGTGTGGGGGAGGGGGAGGTGTGTGGGAAGAAGGGGGGTTGTGGGAAAGGGGAGGTGTGTGGGGGAAAAGGGGGAGGGGGTGGGGAAAAGGAGGAGGGGTTGGGGGGAAGGGGGGGAGGTGTGTGGGAAAAAAGGAGGGTTTGGTTTGGGGGAGGGAAGGGGGTGGTTTTGGGAAGGGGGGAGGAGGGGTTTGGGGAAAAGGAGGGGTGGTGGGGAAAAGGGGAGGGTGGGGAAAAGGGGGGGGTGGGGGGGAAAAGGGGGGGGTGGTGGGGGGGTGTAAAAGGGGGGGTGGTGGGAAAGGAGGGTTTTGGGGAAGAAGGGGGGTTGTTGGGGGGGGTTTTGGGGGGGGGGTTTTTGGGGGGGGGGGGTGTGGGGGGAGGAGGGGTTGGGAAGGGAGGGGGGTGGGAAGAGGTGGGGGGTGGGGGGGGGGGGTTTTGGGGGGGGAAAGGGGTGGGGGGAGGGGGGTGTGGGAAGGGGGGGTGGGGGGTAGGGGGTTGGGGGGGGGGTTGTTTTGGGGGGGGGGTTTGTGGGGGGGGGGGTTTTGTTTGGGGGGGGGGTTTGGGGGGGGGGGGTTTGGGTGGGGGGGTTTTGTTTGGGGGGGGTTGGGGGTGGGGGGGTTTGGGGGGGGGGTTTTTTGGGGGGGGGGGTTTTTTGGGGGGGTTGGGGTTTGGGGGGGGGGGTTTTGGGGGGGGGTTTGTGGGGGGGGGGTTGTGTGGGGGGGGTTGTGGGGGGGGGGTTTGGTTTGGGGGGGGTTGTTTTGGGGGGGGTTGTGTGGGGGGGGTTGTGGGGGGGGGGGTTGTGGGGGGGGGGGTTTTTGGGGGGGGGGTTTGTGGGGGGGGGGGTTTTGTTTGGGGGGGGGGGGGGGTTTGGGGGGGGGGGGTTTTGTTGGGGGGGGGGTTTTTGGGGGGGGGGGTTTTTGGGGGGGGGGGGGTTTTGTGGGGGGTGGGGTTTTTTTGGGGGGGGGGTGTTTTTGGGTGGGGGGGGTGTGTGGGGGGGGGGTGTGGGGGGTTGTGGGGGGGGGGTTGTGTGGGGGGGGGTTTTGTGGTGGGGGGTTTTTGTGTGGGGGGGGGGTGGGGGGGTGGGGATGGTGGGGGGGGGGTTTGTGGGGGGGGGGGTTTTGTGGGTGGGGGGGTTTTGTTGGGGGGGGGTTTGTTGGGGGGGGGTTTTTTGGGGGGGGGGTTTGGGGGGGGGTGGGGTTTGTGGGGGGGGTTGTGGGGGGGGGGTTTGGGGGGGGGTTTGGGGGGGGGGGTTTGTGGGGGGGGGGGGTTTTTGGGGGGGGGGTTTTGGGGTGGGGGTGTTGGGGGGGTTGGGGTGTGGGGGGGGGGGTTGTGGGGGGGGGTTTTTTGGGGGAGGGGAGGGGGGGTGGGTTTGGGGTGGGGGGGTTTTGTTTGGGGGGGGTTTGGGAGGGGTGTTGGGGGGGGGTTTGGGGGGGGTGGGGGGGGAGGTGTGGTTTGGGGGGGAAAGGGGGTTGG